TGTTGCCTATGGGAAAAATATGACCATTTGGAATGAGGAGAAATTTTACTTCTTTCAAAATATAGTCTTCATGTTTGCAGATCTTAATACCAGATCTGTCTGGAGATGAAAGAATTGCTACAAAGTTAAATGATCAAATGTAAATGACTATTATCAAACTCTTCTTATTATAATAAAAGGGGCTGTAACAAGACCCTTATAGGAAAGGTGAAGAAATGGTACACAGAAGAGGAAACAAATCTCCCAAGTGACTGTAACTTGCTTATGTTGTTGAAAATTGCTGTCTCTCGGCAGGTCTAATCAAATGTAGTGACTAAAAATTTCTGACATATTTACCAAGTTCTGTTTCCTTTAACATAACTCTTTGTATGTTCTGAAATGTATTATATAGAAATGACAGTTTTTTCTATTCATTAATTTGTAGATAATTTTTTCATGAAGCAAATTCTCACTAAAGAACTCATTAACTTAAAACACCTGACAATTTTGATGTTGGTCAAAATTTAGGTCTATATCTTGAGAATGAAATATTTTGTCAACAAATTAAGTGTATGTGGTGGCTCATGCCCTTATTCCTAGCATTCTGGGAAGTCAAGATGGGTGGATAGCTTGAGCTTATGAGTTTGAGACCAGCCTGAGCAAAAGAGAGACCCCCATCTCTACTAAAAATAGAAAAACAGAGGCAGGAGGATTACTTGAGCCCAAAAGTTAGAGTTTGCTGTGAACTATGACACCAGAGCACAGAGTAGGTACATGCATGCTCACATACAGACAGATCACACTTTCTCTGCCTCCTTTCTAGCAAGATGTGACTGTGTGACTAAGTTCTGACCACTAGAATGTGAGGAAAATGTCTTACCCATAATTGACTAATCTCTTTCCCTTTGGCGTGTCCAACCTGCAGTCCACAGGCCACATCCTGATACTGTGAGAACCATTTTTGCTTATCTGTGGTATCATACATCATAATTTTTATGTATTTACTGTGTGGCCCAAGACAACTCTTATTCTTCCCATGTGCATCAGAGGAAAAAAAAGGTTGGACACCCCCAATTTACTTGATGCCTAAGAAAGAATACCAACTGGAAGAATCATCTTGGACTCAGGATTGGAAGCCACATGTTAAGAATGGCAGAACTGCCCTGCCATCCCTAGACTGCTTACCTATGTCTTGCCATGCAAGAAAAAATTATGTAACTGCCTTTTCTCTTTGTCTCAGCCTAAACCCCGACTAATTCAATATACTGCCCCCAAGTAAGACAACAAATGAATGACATTTGTTCACTTCTGATTATATGTCTATAAATATTTTCTATGGATATTATCAATCACAACAACTCCATAAGATTAAATATCTTGGCTAGATCTCAAAGGTAACAATTGGTGGAGCTTAGGTATAATAGTTTTATTTTATTTATTTATTTATTTATTTACTTACTTATTTTTGAGACAGAGCCTCAAGCTGTCCCCCTGGGTAGTAGCATCCCAGCTCACAGCAACCTCCAACTCCTGGGCTCAAGTGATTCTCCTGCCTCAGCCTCCCAAGTAGCTGGGACCACAGGCGCCGGCCACAACGCCTGGCTATTTTTTGGTTGCAGCTGTCATTGTTGTTTGGCGGGCCCAGATTTGAACCTGCCACCTTAGGTGTATGTGGCTGGCACCTTAGCCACTTGAGCCACAGGCGCCGAGCCGGTATAATAGTTTTAAAATGGCTTTAAAGGGCCATACGATAATATTCTATAAAAAATACTATGTGTGTTTTCTTCATTTAGAAAAACATGAAGACAAAATTAGGGAAATTTCACTTTCTGTACCACTCTTAGCAATTATTTCAATGTATACACACACAAAACCATTTCTGTGCATACCAACAAAGATGGGTGGTCTTAAATTATGCATGTAAATTTACATCTTGGAACTTTCTTCCACTCTTTTCTTTTTCAAAGAAATTCAAATGAAAATATTCATGAGTAGATAATTGGTGGCAGTGCTTTGCCTTCTTCTAATTTATATCTTTTGTGGAAAGAACAGTAGCATAACCAGATATACCAAGCTTGTTCCTAATTGGGTAACTGCTTACTTTTTCAAAATACAAGTATGGATATAAAAATGCAAAACGTTAACGTATATACAAAACTGTGTTTCATATTTCAGAGTTGCATCCAATTTAGTAGTTGTGTCACCTAGAACAAAATTTTAACCTTGCAAACAATTTCTTCATGCGTATTAAAATGATGATGCTTGGCGCACAAGGTCGTCCAGAGGATTAATGAGACACATGTGCAAAAGGCTTAACACAGTGCTTGAATTAATGGGAAAAAGGAGAAAGTTCTTCAGGGGATCTTTAAAACGCTCCTATATATTAAGTATACTAAAAAAATTATAATACATCATTTCTCCCCCAATTTTTCCTCAATTATTTATCTACTTGGTGGATAAGTATATGCAATTGATAAACATATGTATTCTCCAAATGATTAGATAGTGGAATAAATCAGTAAGAGACACTTTAAAACTCAAATGCATCTGGGTCAACAGTCCTACTGAAGCCTAATTCACTCTTGATCTTTAACAAAAATATAGGCAGGCAAAATCTCTCATTTATAATCAAGGTACTGAATGTATTCAATAACATTGTCACTTTCCAATTTTCATAAAACTGCAAACGTTCATTCCTCTAGCTATGTTGCCTCCCTGAATAGGTTCTGGCAACAGAACATGAAGAAAGCTACGTGTACCTCATGAAGGCAGGAAAACAATCACATTAATTAATTTTGCAAGAATCACCATTTCTACAATATTGAATTTCAATCCAGGGAGGTACTAAGTTCCTCCATTTATTCAACTTCTCACCCTCACCATGCACCCAAGACCTCCAATCTCAGCCCAAAATTTGTTTTCAACTTTGCCATACTTCAGAATTCCCACAGCCAGAAGAAATAAATAAATAATACATTCCTTTTCCCACATCATGGACCTTCTCATTAGGCAAATGAATGAGGCATTTGGAATCATTTATCTGTGTAAAATGACACTCTTCATATGCCCTAATACTTATATTTTTTTCTCCAGTAATAAATTCTGTTCTAACACATCTCCCCCTAGTTACGTAACACATAATTCTCTTCTTCAGAATATTTCTGTTACTATCATGAGGTGTGTGTCTCATAAACAAAAATTAGGGGGATTTTCTTTCATCCTTTTCATTCTATTTTGTTATCCTGATTCAGAAAAAGTCATTGCTATACTCTTCTTAGTAATCTATACTCCATAAAGCACATGGAAACCAGGCAAGTCATTTTTTATTTTTGTGCTTGATTGCAAAAAGCAGATTCAGCAAAAGAAGTTTCACCTATTAGTACCAAAATTAACCATGAGGTCGGCCAAGCAGGTGGTTTAGAGCAGCACTAAGGAGGGAGGGAGAGCCTTTCCAAAACAGCCTGTTTTTAATCTCAATCTGTCAATGAAGAGAGTCATGTAATAGCTAACCGGAATCTTTAATATCTCATTGTTTTCCTCACTGTAACTGAAAAAGAAATGCTTCACTCTTACTCAATTTAAATAATATGTAAATGAAAATTAACAAAGCTGATTTGCTGGTGCTTCCACAAACTCCATTTAGTTTCACAGAGGCTCCCTTACTATCCCACACGCTTTCATAGTCTAACATTTTCCCAGGGTGAGTCATTGCACATCCCCAAGTGTCGACTTACAATAGCTCTAAGGCATCTTTACACCCTCAGGAATCGATGTTTTTTGATCAGCAGAGTGTTAGTTGTCTGAGGAGGAGAACTGTGTTTGTCTATCCTTAGCTGCCTGCACACTGCCTGGGACATATTATGTGCCGAATATATTACACTGACTAGAAGTAAATACAATCGTTGGTATTCACAAGGGATGCTTTCCATTTCCAAATATGGTCCTTCTCTACCAGGCACTTAGGTTTGTTCAACACATTCTCGGTTGAAAATCTACAGTTGTTTTATAAGGAGATTCTGGTACAGTTCTTTGAAATATGTGCTTATTAAGGTTTCTCTTAGGAATTTCAATGAACCCAGAAGGTAACAATACATTACAGTTTCTCCAAGAGGAGAATATTCATACATAAATATCTGCATGATAAAAAGTCACATACTATACTTTAAGCAACTTTTATATGATTTCACTTTGTTGGCCCATCACATTTTTAGGAAGGCCTCACTGCATCACTGAGAATGTAAGGTGAGACTATTTTCAAATTACTGTATTACTTATATTAAAATGAAAGTAGTCAGACCCTTGAAAAATGATGTTTAATTTTTAATTAATCTTATGGAAATTTATATATGTAAATACTCTTACATGTGGACATGGAAAATAATCTATTTAAGATGCTATCCAAATATGTATGTATTGCCGTCATTTTCAAAAACGATTTTGGAGTGACTTTCATAGCCCATATAGAATTCACAAGAAAAACATCATTTTTTCTAGTGACTTCTTTTCTTGCACCAAAACCTTAATATCAGTCTCAATGACCTACTCTAGTCTCTGGATATGGCTGTAAACACTTTTCAAATAATTTTAAAAGGAAAATCTACCTTCAAGGAATGAAGCTATGTTCTCACTGCAAATATTCAAAAGAACCCATCGTAGGACTTGCAGTCACCACTACATGAGAACTTCTAAAATATATTCTGAAGAATGTATACCCTGAGGTACTACATACATGACAATTTGAATGTGGGACCAGTATACTCAATGTGGAATCATATAAGTGAAGGCTGTGTATAAGGAACCTATAAAGTGTGGTGAAAAAGTTTCATTAATTGTCAGGGATAGCATTTCTTATTCATAGTAACATTGGAGTACTCAGGTCTCTTTCAGAATTTCACTAATAGATCCACGTGAGGAAGTGGTTCATATCCCATTTGTAACAGAGAAATCCAGTTTCCTAGAAGATAGAACTGCATTCAAATTAAAGAAAAGATGAACAAGTTTCTTTGTAGAATTTTACTCACATCAGCGAGCTGAGTGACTCCACTTGCTGTTTTTGCCAGTGTGACGAGGTCTTCTTGCATCTTATCCACCCATGACTTGATACTGCAGAAATAAGAAAAGATTATATTCTATCATCAGATCTCTAGCAAAAAAGGGCTACATTTCAGTATTTTGTACCCATATCCATGCTAAAGCTAACTCCTTAAATCACTTTTATATCTTTTCTTGCCTCCTAGCTCCTACCATGTTCACCATCCTACTCCACCTTTAAATTGGAATAGCACTGAACCTTAACTGTGCTTTTAGGATGTCAAAATACCTCCAAATCAAAAAAGAGGAAAGTAACATTAATGTTTTAGCCAACATGGTAAACATTGGTAAACATTTGCTTATTTCTTATTAAAATTGCATGAAATTAGCTAAGATATCATTAGCTTTTAACCACTATTAATTACACTACAACAAATATCTTAGTGTATCAAGTTCAGCAATGTTTCCATTCCTTAGCTCAGCTCAGATTTGGAATCACTGGATCCAAGCTTAAATTTTAACACAATGGTGTGATCATTACAACTATCATTGAAGGACTTCAGTTCAAATCCATTTCAGGTATATACTTTAAATTAATGCAATGGACACTTTAAAATAAGAGTTATGAATGTCATGTTGTTTTAGAAAAACCTAAATCCATGTCCTGTTTTACCTTTTCCCGGCATTGGAGACATTACCCAATAATATCACAAAATTTTCTCCATTCAAATCAATGTAATTTAATTTGCAATTCCTTCATATATTTCACTCATTCATCCTCATGATCTAGACCTAAAGTTAACATTCTTCTCTGCCCAGGCAAATGTAAGAAAACACCAATAAGCTAGTAACAATGATAGATGATTTATCTGTGAATATGAACTTATCTTAACATATACATATGCAATTTGAATCATGGAGATTTAACTGTTTTCCTCAAAGAATTCCAAGGGCATATCAAGGTCACCAACTATTTTTAGACAAACTTAAATGTAACAAAATAAATTAAATATGGAATACCAGCCTAACTTAGATAAGAAATTTAAACGCTGTGTAAGAGAATATATAAAAGAATAATAAGCTGATAAGCTAGAGAAGAAGGAAAAAACCCTGAAAATCAGTCATAAAAAAGGATGAAATACCCTAGAAAAGACCACAGGGGCTTGATTTACATGTGAAATAAATTAGTTAGTAAATGAAACTCATTAAGGTTAGGGATACTTTAGCACAAACAAAATTATAAATATTTATTGAACCATGCCCTATAAATAGACTAGAAAATGGTAAAGGAATATTAAGAAACAATAAATAAATAAATGGAAGTAAGATAAAAAATACAGAAGAAACTTACAGAAATATTAAAATGAATGATGCACACAATGATATTCTAATACTGTAAGTTTTACTACTTGTAGGCTGTTACATATAAAAGAAAAATATAAATACTAATATTCCTAGCATTACTATTAGATAAATATAGTTTAATCCCATTTGAACATAAAAAACAAGTTACAGTAGGACACAAGTAGAAGCAGACCATTGACAACATTTTCAGATTCAGATCACATGTCATTTCTCTAAGCAGTTACTGAACAAACCCTAGAACACAGACAAAATGAATCATCTCTTCTCAGATATAATTCCTAAAACTGACAAATAGTAAGAAGTGTCATACATCCCTTTAGCTGAGATACTGAAAGATAAAGAATATGTATGTAAGGAAATGAACTTAACTCATAACTGAGTTCTGATTTATGCTAAACTGACCCAAAACATGCATTCTAATTGGACACTTAAGGGCACAGTTACTACCAATGTTCATTGAGATGAACTTATTTTGGCTAAAAAGCAATACAGAAACCTACTCAGGCTTCCCTGCCTACTGACAAGCTGTCAAGAATACTTCACAGGAGCAAAGGTTATTTTTTATAAATATGAAGTGTTACGCAATTTTCTAAAATATTTAGGCACTGTCTTTCAATCTAAAATTAGAATGTTTTAATAAATAGGAAATAATGAGAAATCCTATTTACCATGAAAGTAAAAACTTAACACAAGAAAAACAAAACACTCACATGTACAAATATTTTATCAATCTTTATCTTCTTGGGTAAATTGTCAATCACATATGTATAATATCTAAGCTCTATTTTATTCAATTTATACTGAAAGTATTATAAAACTTCAGGGCAATTGCAGAGTATGTAGCATTTTTATGTACAATAATAAGAAAGTAATACAGCACTCAACTAAGATAAATGTGTTATTTGTTCCCTGTTAACCAATTCAACAAATATTAGTTGTGCTGGAAAAGATATTAAGAGATGGAGATTCAGATTGGGGTTAAGACTAGATCTGGCAGGAAGAGAGGAAGAGGGGAACAACAAAAATATATATGGTGGGGTAAATTTCAGGAACTAGAAGGGAGCTGCTTTATATTTATTAATTAGTGATCCAGAGAGACTAGCAGATGAGGCTTTCTGGAGCACAAGCTACTTGAAGTGGCATTTGAAAGCCAAGTAGACATCACAAAAATGAAAAAAAGAAGGAGGGGATGAAGTAAGATGGAGGACCATAATGATCATTCAGCTGAGCTCTCCTAAAATGACTGGGGAAAAAGAGAGAACCCAGCCATATCTGGCATAGGGACCTTACACATTGTCATAGCTCAGAGAGCACAGGGAGGAGGTGGTGAGCTGGGTACAGCATATGGTCCAAAGCCATGGGAATCTGATGAATTAGATAAGTGATTGTGATTGGCTGGATCAGCTGGCCGCCCATGGAGGTCCAGGATGGGAGGAAGACTTTCCAAAGTTTTGACTTACTGGGGGAAGCGATGAATTGAGCAGAAAGCTTAGAAGACTGTCCAGACTCGAACAGTTCAAATGCCAGTTGGAGTGGATTTGCCATAGGTTTGGTGGCTAGCAAGCCAGCCATGATGAGAAGCTCTCAGCTGTCAAGAAGGTGCCATTGCAGGAAGATCATGAGAAGGTCTTTTCAAGGACCTACAGCATGGCAATCTTAATTCTGCCTGGCAGGATCAGAGCTTCCCTCTTGGGACAGACTGAGGGACTCCCACACCCCGTGGGAACTGGAGTCTTGGGGTACTGTGAGACCTGCCCCAAAAAGGACTCTTTTGAGCTTTAAGATCTCAACCTGACAGGGTCTGAATGCTGAGGAAACAATTATGTGATCACTGAAGGCAACTGACAAACTACCTTCCTAACTGACAAGTTAGGAATAAGAACCATACAGGTTGCTGTCTATGTGCTCTGTCTTCTAAAAAAAAACAAAGTGCCACTAGGTGTCCTGGCTTAATATTGCAACATACTGTCATCAAGAGCAAGGACTCCTGTATTTTTGGCCACAGGGAAGAGTTTGGCTTTGCTCAGGCTGAGGCCACTTTAAGACATAAGCTCTGAAACTAGGTAATTGAAGCAAAGGAGGCAGTAAGAAGGAAAAAGGAGGATAAGGAGGTGAATAAGAAGAAAGAACATATAAGAACACATAATAGAAAAATTCGAGCAATATGAAAAGCTAAAACAGAGGAACTCCCCCAAGGGACCATGAGGGAGCTACTGCAGAAGACTCCACCAATAAAGAGCTAATGGATTTGACAGAAAGTGAATTTAAAATATGGATGTTAAAGACAATAAAAGTAATGAACAAGAAAATGAGAAGACAGACAAGAGTTATGTAGACTATAGAAAGGATATGGCAGAGTTTAATTAAGGAAATGATGCAATCAAGGAATGTAAAGATAGAGTAGAAAGTATCAAAAACAGGTTAGACCATGGAAAAGAAAGAAACTCAGAGCTAGGGGATAAAGTTCTCAAGTTAACACAGGCAGTTAAAGAGACAGAAAAGAAGAGAGAGAAAGCAGAATAAGCACATAAAGAACTACGAGACTCTATGAAGCATTCAAACATAAAAATAATAGGGATTCCTGAAGGGTTAGAAGATTGTCACAAAGGATGGAAGCGCTACTGGAGACGATCATAAATAAAAACTTCTCAAGTTTTACTAAAGACCAGGACACACTCCTTTCAGACTGATATCAAACCCTGGGTCATCTCAACTCACACAGAGCTTCTCTAAGACACTTTGTAATGAACCTGTCCCAAAGTGTAGATGAAAGAAAAAATTCTGCAACCAGCCAGAAGTAAGTGCCAACCGACCTACAGAGGCAGAGCCATTCGGATGACAGCTAAAACTTTCCAAGTAAGAAGAGACTGGTCACCCACCTTCAACATTCTTAAAACAATTTTCAGCCCAGAATTCGGTATCCTGCTAAACAAAGCTTCAAAATTGATGAAGAGAGCAAATCTTTTGCAGATAGATGTACAAACACTGAGGAAATTCACCACAAGACCAGCTCTACAGGAAATACTTAAACCTATTCTCAACAGTGACCACCACCATGGACCACCAGCAAAGTAAACACCCAGAAGTTAGAGGTTAAATCTTAGTTTCCACAATGGCAAAAAGGGTAAAACTACACAACGGACTTTAACAAAAAAAGAGGAATAGACCGCCACCACACTCATCTATTCTCTCAATAAATGTCAATGGACTGAATTCACCACTGAGGAGGCACAGGCTGAAAGGATAAAACACCACAAGCCATCCATATGTTGTCTGCAGGAGACACACTTCAGAATCAAGGGATGGAAAACAGTATTTCAAACAAATAGAAATCAGAAGAAAGGAGGGTTACAATCTGATTTTCAGACACAAGCCTATTTAAAGCAACCAAAGTTCAGAAAGACAAAGATGGTCACTCCATGCTAGTCAAAGGAACAATACATAAAAAGACATTTCAATGTTAAATATTTATGCATCCAACTAAAATTTTCCCACATTTATGAAACAGATCTTGAAGTCGGGAGCAACATGATATCCCACAATACCATAATAGCCAGGGATTTTAACAGCCCTCTGACAGAACTGGACAGAGACTCTAAACAGAAACCAAAGAAAGATATAAAATAATATGGAAAGTTCACTATGCACACAGAATAAAATTAACATCACCCATAATCTTACTGCCTTGTGATGATAAACATTAGCTA